GTTGTTTGGCAGGTCCGGGCTGGGGATTCGAACCTGCCACCTTAGGTGTACGTGGCTGGCGCCTTAGCCGGTTGAGCTATAGGCGCCGAGCCAGCACTTCTAATAAATGCTTCACTTCCCCAGTAACATCAGTATATATGTAGTAATAATTTCTTTTTAGATTTATTTTTCTTTGTTTAGGACATTTGTTCTTGCTGTAATAATCTCAATACGCATGTCAGATTTTTTGTATCCTTTGAATGATGGATGAAAACATGTATTTGTAGATAAAATATGTATAGGTTTCTTAAAGGTACTATAAAAACTCATGACATGTGAAATAATTTTACGTGTGTACTGCTAAGCTATATACGTGATAACCCACTCTCTCAAGAGCACATAGGTCAACTAAGAATACAGAGAGGAGAGAATAGAAATATTAATAAACAGCAACCCCAAAGTATGCCTCTCCCCTGTTATTTCAGTCAAGTTTTTTTTACCAGTTATATTCATAAGAGAATCTCTCCTTTAAAGAACTGAAATTTGCATGAAAAAGAGAAGTAGTATTAAATCACTTATTCATTCAATAAACTAAACACTTACTTACTACTAAATGCTAGACCTAGGCACTGTCAAGAGGTCAGCTTAAGAAACAGTTTCTGAATACAAGTGACTGGAGGACTACTCAAAAATCACTTTGAGGTTCTTGACTCCATCCATCACCCATGCAACCAATATTTCTTGTGAGCCCACTATACATCAACCACTGCTCTAGGTGAGGGAGAGACAAACAACATCCTGGCTCTCATGGAGCGCCCATATGGTGAGGAACAACAGGCTACAAAGAAAATAAATCAAAGAAAAAAGACAGAGTAACTTTATTTAGGGTAATGTCATTTCATGTTGAAGAGACACCTAGTGAGCGAACTTTTTATTTATGCTTTCATTGACATCTTGAAAGGGACTGATCACCTCCACATCAACAAATTAAAGAGGATTTTAACTGTCTCTCTAAGCATGTGATACTGCTGACTACCTTCATTTTGAATTTCATAGGCTTGTGTGGTGAATTTCCTCTTCAGGTTCTTATCTGTTGCCATTGGTATGACATTAACATAAGCTATATAATCATATCTAGAATTTAATGGAAACAGTCCTCTATCCAACCAAGGGAAACAGATTTTAATTGATGTGCAAACTGGACAGCACCTGGAGAAAAGCTTAATTTTGTTCTTACCGCGTTTCCCCCAAAATAAGACACTGCCTAATATTTATTTTTTCTCAAGAAGACACACTAGGGCTTATTTTCAGGGGATGTCTTATTTTTACTAAGTATAATACAACAGTCTACATTTATTCAAATGGAATTTGAATACATTTATTCTTCTGGAACCTGGCGTTGGGAGCCAACCTTGCTGGTAGGGCTGGTGCTAGTGATGCGTGAACTCCTTTCCCCTAGCTGCTCCCACGTGTACAATAGGATGCCTGCAACCGCGGTTACCACATGTGACCACAGTTACCACATGTGCACCCACGCAAGTGCAAATGGCTCAGAGAAAGGAGCTGTGGCAGATAAAAGGTATTCCAGTCTTCCTTACAACTCTGCACTGAAATGCATCACTAGGTCTTACTATCAGGGTAGGGCTTATATTTAACAAATGCATAGAAATCCTGCTAGGGCTTATTTTTTTGGGTAGGTCTTATTTTTAGAGAAACACAGTAATTTCTAATTGTTTTTAGAAGATTACTTAACAATGTAAGACATTTATTCAACGCACTGGAGAGTAACATCAAAAACTAGTATCTGTATAACATGTTACATTTTATAAAGAAGCCCGTTCACATTATAATTACTTCATTTAATTCTCATAAAATGATTATATCCTATGAGGTAGGTAATAACTGCATATTAAAAATAAAATCCTACTTTTCAAATGATATGACTAAAAAATTAGATTTAAATACCACCCTTTATTTTTTCCTTAATATTTGGGAAATTCTGAAAAATGTAATTAAAAACATAAGAAACACCTCTAATCACAATACTCAAAAATAACATTTGCTAACATTCTGTTTCATTTAACATTTCTTCCATCCTATCCTTATTAAGTTTAAAATTTTAATTGCTTCATACTAATGAGAATATTAATATTTTCTAAAAAAGAAACTTGCTCTTTCATTAAAAATAAACCAGGATTGGGGGGGGCTACTATGATCAAAATGACTGTGAAACCAACTCAATTTTTCAAGTTGTAATTGCAAAGTCACAAGTAGAAAAAGATATACACAAAACATTATAAAATGCATTCTAACCTGTTCAATCTCTTTGGTTTTTGATGCTATTGCTTTAGAGCGACTGTTTAGCTGACTGTCTTCAAACAACTCTATGCCATCTGCTGCATTTGCCTCAGATTCTTCTGGCTGGTCAATGAACAAAGGTGCTGTGGATCCCGCCTTAAAAGAGAATTAGAAATCTTTAATCACTTTCTTAAAGGACATAGAGCATTTCAGACGACTATATGTAGGCACTAACTGGTAGAATATATTAACAGAAGGTGCTTCAAGTAAAGAAAACTCTTTCAATTTCACTACATGAGCATATGTGAAGAGGATTAAGAGGAAATGATTGCTACTTTCTTAATTTTAGGTAAGACAAAGCCTCTAGGCTTATTCTACTCTAAAATCATACTTTCCACTATACTGAGATATAGATAGAAAGATTTGCCCCACAACTATTTCTTAAACAATCTATTTGTGAAACACTGAAGAGAAAAAGTCCAGCTGGAAGAGGTATGTGCACACGTAACAAAATACATGAGAAGAGAACATGGGAAATAGCCTAAGAACTTACTGAAATCATTAGAAAAAAATCCCATGGTAATGATCACTTCTATTTTAGAGCACCAAATTGAAAGTGAATAAATAATCCCATAGCCAGGAGGTCATCCCCTATGAATTGTGTCAAAAAGGAGGGGATTAGTATAGAAGCATTTATACTTACGCACATATATGCACAGACCATCTCTGGAAGAATACTATCTTTGGGGAAGAAATGGTAAAAGAAAAGTGTCTCAGTAGAAACACTTGGAAGAAACAGGATGGAAGGGACATGCTGTAAATACTTCAGCATTGTTTGAATTTCTGACAAATGTATTTATTATCTACTAAAAATTTTTAGTTTTTACAAGTCTGAGTTACATATTTCAAGGAATTTAAAGTAAAGGCATAAGAATCATTTAAGAGATAAGTGCCACCATCAGCATCAGTTTTCTTCTCCAGGTCATTACATCCATGTTATTACTCTATAACCCTTATGGTAAGCTCCCAAATTATCTCTTACTCCTGCTGCTTGCATAGAAACCTTGTGGTCAAAAAGAAAAGGTAACCAACCATACAAAACATACAGGTAGTCATAGGACACGAGGGGTTCACAGTAACAAGGGTATATACCTTTTCCTGGGGATAGATAACAATTAGTTTTTGTTATCTAGTAAGAATAAAGGAAGGGCCACAGAGATTTATTTATAACTTTCAACTGCTATGGTCTGAATATTTATACCCTCAAAAACTTGGGACCCCCCCCCTTTTTTTTTTTTTTTTTTGAGACAGGGTCTCTCCTCTGTTGCCCAGCCCGGAGTTCAGTGGCATGATCATAGCTCACTAAAACCTCAAACTCCTGAACTCAAGGAATTCTCCTGCCTCAGCCTCCCAAATAGGGACTATAATCACCTAATGGCTTATTTTTCTTTTTCGCTTTTTTTTGGTAGAGATGAGGTCTCCCAATGTTGCTTAGGCTGGTCTCAAACTCCTGGCCTCAAGTTATCCTCCACACCTTGACATCCCAAGTGCTGGGATTACAAGTGTGAGCCACTGGCTGACCCATGTTGAAATTTAACTGCCAATGTAATGATACTGAGAAGAGGTGAAACCTTTAAGAGGTGATTAGGTCAGAAGAGCTGTGCCCTCACAGATGGGTTCAATGTCGTAAGTGGTTCTCTCTCTTTGCTTTTATATTCTGATGTAACCAACACTTAAGACAATATCTAGGAAGCAGAAACCATATGCTCATCACACCACAAACCTACCAGTACCTTGATCTTAGATATCCCTGCTTCAGGAACTGTAAGAAATCAATTTCTGTTCTTTGTATATTATCCAGTCTTGAGTCTTGTCATAGCAACACAAAACTAAGACAGAGGTCTACACACAAAAATGTAAATTGGTGATTATAGGACACATATCAGAGCAGATAAAACAAAAACAAAATGACGGAAAAAATAACTTAAAAGAGCTCACTGGTAATTAAATTTAGCTCAATTAATTATAGATATTATTGTCCAAGGTACTATAAGAAAAATAAGCCAAGTGCTTAAGATATATTCTATATATAGGGTGGACATAAAGTTTGTGTGGATTTAAATAGTTAAACATAGTAAATTTCAATGAACTTTATGTCTACCCTGTATATACTGCTAGACACACAAAAAAATTTAATAAAATTTTTACAAAGGTCATCAATGAAATACAAATGGTATAAAATTTTACAGTGGGTAGGAAAGTAGAATCAAGAAAGATCTTGAGTCTTATCTCAAACTCTATTGCTTCTACTGAAGGAATATGAATTTGAAAGAAAGTCGTGGAAGATGGGCATTTTGGATTGGGGACAAAGTAAACACACACATTAATGCAGAAAACTAAGTTTGTGTAAGTACAAGTAAGTTTATATGTGAAAACAAAGTCATATTTTCACATTTAAATGTAAGAAAATGCTAAAATTTTACTCTATAGCAGGAAGTGACCTATTCAATTGAGACATTCTAATAGCCTTCAAATAATGTGCTTTGCATTCTGCCAAAAGCCAAATTCTCACAGCTATTAGTTTAAAGATTGCAAATTATATCACTACAAAACTTGACTGCAACCTCCTTGATGGCCAGGATGGTGCCTCAAATTAGTGAATTTACGTAAAATATGAGAAAGCCAATACACACAATATTGTGTGTCTTGAAACACTAATCCCAAAACATACCCTATTTTGCCATGCACAATGCACAGATTTTTTAGGGAGAAATAAGGATGCACATCATACATGAGTAGCATAATTCCATATCTATGTAAATGCTTCAAATTCTTTTATTTATGCTTATATGTTATTAGTGTCACTGTAGAAAGCAATAACAATTCCCATATGCAAAATAATACCCTGAAATATGATAATTGGTTTCGTTGAACTTATGACAAAGTTGTAACAAAGCATTTTTGGCCAATAAAGAGCAACGTATTTTCACTTCATAAACTTTAGGTGGGTCCTAGCAACCTAGCTGATATTTTTACAAAATTCCTTTATAATATAAAAACCAAGTACCTAAAGGTAAACAGCAAAAATCTGAATTAAAAAACTAAAGTGAAAGTTTTTTTCCTGGAAGTTTGGGCCAAAAATGTAGGTGTGCATTACATACGTGAGCACATTATATACTACAAAATACAGTACACTAAAAAAAAGTTCATAGTCAAAAGTTCAGTAAGCTATGAAAAATCTATTATTTCATCATCTTCACAGAGCGTATTAATATATTAAAGTCTCTGAAAAGTACCGAAATATCAACACCAACCCACCTCTTTCACTCTAGCATTTCCCAAACATACTAATTAAACTTTTTTCTGTCCTCAGACTATTAAGACCCTTTATTAATACTATTCTGTCAAATGCTTTATGAAACACTCTATTGCAAGCCCCAAAATAAAAGTATAAAACCAAAGAAATAAACCACAACATGCCTGAATTTTTAAGCATATTACTGATTTTATCTTTAATTTCATTGGACTTTCTATTTAAAAAATTGCTTAAAACTATGATTGTGACTGCAAGAGAAGATAATATAAGCATTCACTCTCTCTCAACTCATAAACATAAATCTACATGTTTCTGAAGTACATGAACTGTCATTTACATAGTACTAGTACGGACACAACTAGACTTAAACACAAATGCATGTACAGGTGAACACACATGAACAGCACTGTGCTAAACTTTTTCTTAGCATCAAAGCCCTTCTTTTTTTCCAGGTTGTTCTGTTAAATTAGGTAAGAGTTTATACAGGGTCAAGGCCAAAATCCTTTTTCCCAAAAGGCATGAAACACTTAAATGAGTAACTAACAACAGCTCAAGAACAGATGATACTATCTGAGTAAAATATTAATAAGATACTAATGGGACTGAGTTTACAAAGAGTATAGTGAAAATTTCCCACCTGCTTTATTTCTAGTATGAAAAAGTATCAGTCTGACTTAAAAAACATTTTAGAGAATGGAATGGTATCAAGCTGATGCTGCTTTTCAATGTGAATGGTGTATACCAAGTAACAAACATACTATGGTAACATCAGTTCTACTCTCTTCAATCTTGCCTTTGATCCAACAGAAGATCACATCTGATGTATGACTCTACTTATAGAGTACTTAGGGTTATTATTTACTTTACACTAATTCAAAATCGAGCAATTTCTGAACAAATTCCAGAGAAAAGACAGAGGTTAAAAAAAAAAAAGTCTTTGTAGATCCAATGTCACAATGCAGTGTCAGGATCTATTCAAGCAATGGGAGACCTTGAGTGAAATACTTAAAATCTGAGAAAGGTAATCAGATTTTGTAAGAAGCTGAGATTAAAAGTGATGAAAATGATAAGATGAATCTACTATATTATATAAATGAATACTATATTAATATTCATATATATAACTAATATAAATGAAAGACTTACTAATTCAAGTATTAAGTAAATAAGAAATTAGTCTTACTATGTAGTCTTATTTTGAAAAATAATCAGTATCCCAAAATAGCAATTTTGAAGCACACAAATCTATTATTAATATAAAAACCATTATTCTAACTTACTAAAGAAAATAACTTATTAAATGTATGTCTGTATTATTCATGCTTTTAAGTAGTGATGGGAAAGTGCCAGAAAGTGACAGCTTGATGTTTTTGATACATTTACTTGAGGATATGTAAAAATATCTATTATTAAAGGAACAATAACAAACAAACCTTGACCTATTTAAGAACAACTGATATCTAGAAAACAGATCAGCATTTTGCAAAAGAAAGGCTCTAGTTATGTACATTCTGATAGGGTTTGCACTTTTCATGAACAATGTACATTAGTTACTTTAAAAAGGATCTTTAAAAAGTGTATGAAGATGTAGTTAAGTATTATCTCTATATAGATTCCAAAGCTTGACGCTTTTATCTCAGGAACTTCTATAAATGTCACCCCCTAAATATATCTAAAAGCCAGAATTCCCCTTCAAATATAAATAATTTGTCATAGTATAGAGATTTCTATATTGTCTACCTAGCAAGTCAAAATAATTCCACAAGTATCAAATCCTGAATCTAAAAGTTTAATTTTGCCAAAATTTCTATATTTCCCTTTTATACTTGTTATAGATTATACAGAAATTTTTCAGTTTATTTTCAAATATTCTAATATAAACATTTTATAAATAGTTTTGTAGGGAAACTGTTCTCTTCCAATACTCAAGACATATCAAGGATATAAGGAATAATTTCATTTTTGAGGATATTTGTGAGATCATTTGCATCAAGCATAATATGCAGTAGAAATATAACCCACAATCCAAAGTTGAATTATATTTTTGTTCTGAATTCAATGGTTTATGACTAGTGGCTTAGCATGACTTCCTGAGATAATTTTAACAACAAAGTTCATTAAAAGAAATATATAAATAATGTGTTTTTCTTATACTCCATACTTAACACTATTCTTTCCTTCCTAAACCCCTGAAGATATTCAAACACAGAGTGATTACTGAATTCAGAATCATTCATATTCAATCACACTGTGTGGTAAATTTTAATATCTGTAATTCATGAAGATACATTCTGAAGTACTAGAATAAACCAAATATTTTCCACCCATAGCTTAAAATCCAGATACAATTTTCAGATGTAAAACACGAAGAAGAAATTATACCTTACCTCATACTCAGAAATTTCAGGCAAGTTACTTTCATCTGTCTTCTCTAGCTTTTCAGCAGCCCACTTGCTTGCAGCCTCAGCAAGTTCTTTTTCAGTTAGCCTACTAGGTTTGTCTAACACCTAATAAAAATAAAAGAACATTTCTGTTACAATTCTCAAGGGCTTTTAAACTTCAAACAGATCAAGAAGTATACCACTCTACTTACACTTAAAATCAGAAGCCTTCAAAGTTTATAAAGAGAACAGATACTCTAGAAATTTACATAGAACAAAGCGAAAGACAATGACGATTAGCTCATATGCTAATAGTATTTAGAATATAAAAATATGACACTAGTTTCAACTTTCTATTTTTAATTATACTCCAAGAAATAATGCCAAAAGCTCATAAAATAAATTCCTAATTAATGCAAAAGTCCAGAAATGCTATTTTTGTAATTTTTAATGAATTATGTAAGTTCTCCTCTCATGAAATTTTTAGACTTAAATTTCATTTTTTGATCCTACTAGTAGTTCCTCTTAACTATACACAATACCAAACAAGGTACAGGCTATGAAGTTACAGACAGACCTAGGTGTGAACTGCACTTAATGAGTCACTAGGTAAATTATTTTGTATACATAATTTATAACACTGCGAGCCTTGGTTTACTCATTTACAAAATAGGGGTTAATAATACTTATTTTACAAACCAGTTGTGAGAATTAAGAGAGGTAATAGGCCTGACAGTATCTAGAAAAATGCTTAGTACTTTAATTTTTCTTTCTTTTCCATATTCATTGATATAACTCTATTATACTAAAAGATATTCGAAGATCAGTGAGTTCATAGGGTCAAAACAAAAATAAAGAAAATGTTTTTTTGAATATAATTCCCACAATATGCTCTTAAAAGGCTGATGTTAAAGAATAAGATTAAAATAGTAAAATACAAATCTAAAAATTCATTCCTTAGACCCGTATGGTAACTCTGATTCTATTCTATTTCTTTAGCATTTTTATCAACTAGCCCTGCTGTGCCTAATTTTGTCCCCATCTCTTTTCTCTAAATTCACATTGATTCCAGTAAAAACCCCCATCTTAGAGTACACTGCCATTTAGGAAGTGCTCTTATTTACAAACCAAAAAATATATATTTTAATTAAATAAAATTCTAGGAAGGTGCTTTATTCATCTAAATTATAAACCAAGAAACTGGATGACAGTGACTAAAGTTAATAAATACTGACATGGGACTTAAAATTAGATCTTTTACATGGAAAGGACATTGATCTCTTTCATTACTTTATTAAATTCACTCATCTACTGGCTGGCCGTCTATAGTATTTACCGAAAGATCATAGCAGTATGTCTACACAAAGTATATTCCACAGCCAGAGAGGAAGCTTACTAAAGCCCTATTCATATACTAGGTTTAAAAAAGTATTATTACGACTCAGCGTCTGTGGCTCAGTGGCAAGGCGCCAGCCACATACACTGGAGCTGGCGGGGTTTGAATCCAACCTGGGCCTGCTGAACAACAATGACAACCACAACCAAAAAAGCCGAGTATTGTGGTGGGCACCTGTAGTCCCAGCTACTTGGGAGGCTGAGGCAAGAGAATCGCTTAAGCCCAAGAGTTGGAGGCTGCTGTAAACCGTGAAGCCATGGCACTCTACTTAGGGCAACTAGTGAGGCTCTGTCTCAAAAAAAAAAAGTATTATTATAATATTACTCATTAATAGAAGGTCGTTAAAGTAAGTTAGAAGAAAACAAACACGTGTGGACAAATAACTAAGATATTCAAGAAAAAAATTTTATATTCTATGTTGTTTTGTGGGGAGGGATGCATATCTGTGTGACAGAACATTTATGCGATTTCTCTTGTAAAGAATGAAGCAAAACAAACTGTAACTTAACCTTTCTATTCATCTGTTGTTAAATCTGTACAACTGAATAACTATCACTCGAAACTAACTTCTAACAGCAGGAAATAATTCCTACAGGAGGGCCACCATAATGTTTATACAAAAAGTCCTCTGCCAAATCAGATAATTTAGGTGATAAAGCTCCCCAGAGCTACTAGGAGACCCTGGACAAAGGACACGGGAGAACCACACTTTCCCAATACATAAAATTATTCTAGATCTGAAATTCTGATACTCCGATTCCATTTTAAGATGTTATGGTCTATGTAACGGAAACGCAAATATCTATGTGAAGCTTCAGTCTAAAGTAGCCAAATCCATTATGATTGTTCACCATTGAACATACCTTAACAGGTAGCACAAAGTCCTATGCCAAAACTTATACTTAAATAGCATTGTATTTCAGGGGAAATGAATATTTCATACATAATAATTTCAATTTTCATAATAACTTGGAAAGGCAAGTACTATTTACACTTCTTTCATTTATTACCTGCCAAGAAAAACAATCCAGTCTTTCGGTTAGGTTAAAAACCCTTGATATGGTTAAGACAGAAACAAATACTCCAATCAATCTTTGCTATCCAAAGCCCAACATTCTACAATGTTCAGACTTCTGGGAAAGTGTTACAAAGATACAAATCGCTATAAAGAAATATTTTCTCCCTTTGAGGCACAGAAGCAGCTGTCCCCTTGCCAGATAATTATCTACTTTTGCTAAAAAGCCAAAATAAAAAAGACAGAAGAATGAAAAACACAGAAGTAATAGCAGTGATGGCCGAGAGAAAGGGCGTGAGCTTTGTAGAAAGAAGCTCTCTAACGGAAGAGAACAGATGGAAACAGAAACTTGTCACATTTTTAACTTGTGAGGATCAGAAGCAGGAGTCTAGAAAGGTAGAAATGAGAAGAATGACAAAGTGAGGGATAGCTGTGTCCTTAGGAAATGGTATAACATCTGACCCTTCACCCTCTTATAGAATGGGACTCTATACACCTACATCTATCATAGGAATCTTATGCATTCATACAAGAAAAAATACTTAATATAGTATCTAGAATAGCACAGTTATACAATAAATTAGGTTTCTACCTAAACACCCAAAGCACAATCAATCAAATATGCTCCATCTGAATATTATTCCCACCTAGTTATGATCAAGATGAAAGCCAGGGTTACAATAGTGAGTACTAATTTTAGCATAACGTCAAGTAGAATAAAAAAGCTGCCTATACTCTAATAGGAATTACTTAAAATTCAAGTTTTGAAATACAGCAAATTAGTCTCATATGCTAATGGTAAAGAATATGTGTGTAAGAATACAAGTATAAAAGAAAATCATCACATGAATGCTAGATAGCCCATTTCATTTACCTTGTAATTCTTTAAACTGATTTTAGAAAGACAACAAACCTTTGATGATGAAACTGCTGAAGAACTCGAGGGTGAAGTATCTCTTGATGTTTTCAAAGATTGTACAGGCCTCTCCTTATCTATATAAAAAAGTTAACATGTAATTTTTTCCAGTTCATTTATTTTCAATTAGGTCATTTTGTAACAAAACTAATGAAGGGGGCCATATACTTTTTTTACTACTAAAATTTTCCATTACATTACTAAATTATATTAACATCTGAAACTACCTCTCTCTCAGAGGCTGAGTACCACCAAAAATTTCAAATAACTCAAAGCTAAAGGATATCATACAAGGCTGTCTAGGCTATACCACTGCCAGTTAGCAAACATGGAGCCACTGAGAAGACCCTGAGAAAAGCAAAATATGTTTTAAAATCATGAATGCTTCCTCTCCCATGTTCCTAAATGCCAACTTCTAATATATCACAATACAAACACAAGAGTATTCTGTAGATACTACCAAAGTGAACTAGGTAATTAACGGGTAGCTCATGGAGAGATGTATGCAGGAAGTTTAGCAGATATTCCTAAAATGTTTAGAAAGTTTATAAAATAAAATTAAAAAACTATGATTCAGAGCACTAATCCAGTGCCTGGCATGAATGAATACCCACATATTTGTTTAATGGTTGAAAATAACCTGTATGAGATAAGGTCACTAACCTTAGTCACTTCAGATATTCATATGATGCCGTATGTAAATCATTTTTTATAAAAACTTAAGCCAGAAAATACATCTGAATAATACTACTTCAGCAGGTTCAACAACTACAAAAAGATGGGTTTAAACTAGGGTGTGCCCAGTGGCTCATTCAAGCCTGTAATTGTAGTGCTTGCTTTGGGAGGCTAAGGCAAGAGGGTCAATTAAGGCTAGTAGTTCAAGACTAGCCTGAGCAACATGGTGAGATTCCATCTCTACAAAAAAAAATGAAAAAAATTAGCATGCACTGTACAGCTGTGATATGAGCAACTCAGGAAGCTGAGGCAGGAGAACTACTTGAGCCCAGGAGTTGGAGGCTGCAAGCAGCTATGACTGAGCCACCACACCCCAGCCTGGGCAAGAGAAAGAGAGATACTGTCTCTTAAGAGGAAAAAATAAAAAAGATGAGTTTAGTTAAATATAATCTTAGAAATTAACAAAAGTAAGCTGTTACTGGCAGAAAAACATTTCATTAAATTGTGTATGTTTGTCAAATACAACATATAATCCTCATCTGCTCTTAGCTGATATAACTGACAAATTAAAAATATGGAGAAGAGAAAGTGGCACCAAGTTTGGAGTCACACAGAAGCTGGTCAGGACTAGACAGCAGGTTACGGCCAAGAAAGCAGTCAAGAGCAAAAGCAGAGACAAAATGATCCTGAAACTGAGGCAAAACCAGCTAAAATCAAAAAGCTGCTTAAATTCTTCCTACCTCAGCCAAGAAATAATGCTAAGTAAGGGACTCAGGGCTTGAAGACTTCTGACCACCTAGGGCAGCATGAATAACCTTTTTCTAATGTCCAGCAAACCTAAAGGGCTTTCTCTAGACCAGTGGTTCTCAATTGAGGACAATTTTGCACGTCCCTCTTTACCCTCCCTAATGTTTGGCAATGACTGAGGATTTTTTTGGTTGACACAAAGTGGGAGAATGCCACTGGCACATAAAGCAGAGGACAGGAATGCTATTAAATATCCTGCTATTGGGGTCTGTCCTCCATAACAAAGAATTATCCAGCTTTGAATGTCAATATTGCAGAGGGTGAGAACCCCTGCTCAAGGCTGAGTAGTCTAGCAGTTTTTAAAAGTGCTGGCACCCACCAGGCTGGGTGCAGTGGCTCACACCTGTAATCCTAGCACTTTGGAAGGGTAAGGTGGGTGGATCACCTGAACTCAGGAGTTCGATACCAGCCTGATCAAGAGTGAGACCCTGTCTCTAAAAAAAACAAGAAAAAAAACTGGCCAGGCTGTGTGTGGGTTGCTTGTAGTCCCAGCTACCTGGGAGGCTGAGGGAAGAGGATTGCTTAAGTCTAAGAGTTTGAGGTTGCTGTGAGGTATGATACCATGGCACTCTACTAAGGTGACCAAGTGAGACTCTGTCTCCTCCCCCCCCCGCCCAAAAAAGTCACAACCCTAGTGTCTTTTAACTTGTGGTACCATTATAGACTTTCACACTAAGCAACACTAAAAGTTCTTACAGACCTAAAAAAAATCAAAAGAAAAATACTATGAACCACCACTGCATCCCAAATGACCAAAAGCACGAGCTATATAATCATTCCTTACGGCATTTTCACCGCCCGTGGCAAACTCCACTGTATTGCAATAGTGTCAGTCTACCCCATTACACTAAAGTTCCAAGAGGAACAAGTATTAAAGCTTTTTTATTTCTGAATATCCGTGGCCTACATAGCTCAAGTCCTTAAAGACAAGAGGAAACACTCAAAAAGTACCTCCCTGTCCTATTCAGCAATCCTTTGAAAGACGATGAGGTACTAGATCAATCAGTATAGCACACTATGCTCATTAGAGGCACCGTAGGCTGAATTCTAGCACCTATGATCTAGACAGACACACGCACACACACACACATCTGCCAGAGCAGCTGACAATCTTTTGCTCAACATTTCCTTGACAAACAAGACATCTGTACTGCAGCTATGCCTATGCCATCTGTTGTCCCCAAATGTAGTTTTAGGACCTTTCCTGATTTTTAGCTGCTCAAAAGCTAAAAATAGATACCAACCAATTTCACATGCAGAAGCAAAGGAACACTGAAGGATAGTGTGAGAGGTTTATATATCCACATATATTCATATACACCTGTTGCATGAAAGGAAGGGCAGGCAAGAGGCAAAGGACAAAGAAAAAGATACGTTTAAATGGCAGCAGAAGCAGCCCAGAAAAGGCAAACAGAAATTGCTTGATTGATCGAGCTGCCCTTAGCAAGTCTTATTTGCCAATTGCCTGTCTGTTCTACAGATCTCAGTCTTCAATGGCGTGGGCTATTCCTGACCAGGAATGATAACCAGATAACCAACCCACTATCCCCCAAATCCTACTGTTCAACTCTGGTTCTGACAGTAGACTAATGGATGGTTATATACTTTTTGCATTTCCATAACCTCCATCAATTCAAGCCTCCCACCCCTTCAAAATCCCAAATCAGAATCTAGCTCAAAACTCACCTGTTTCTGGCTTTCTTTCATGCTGCCGTTTGTAGGAGGCATCAACACGCATGGACTCTAGGGAAAGGTGGGCAGGGAGGAATTAGCACCAGCACCTCTGTGCCCAAGAGGAAGAAAAGAAGAACCCAGGTAGGAGAGATGAGAACAGGAGCTTCTCGGCATTTCTAGTGACCCTAAATTCTTTCCTACCCTGCTCTCAAGTTGGGCTGCCTGAGCAGCCACCGCTCAAGAGGAATAAACAACAGAATAGGAAGAAGCTAATTATAAGTTTAAGCTAAGGCCAGTCAAGGATAACATGACCAGAAAGGTCTGAGAAAAGGTTCCTTACAGTAAGGTAAGACACTGAAAGCTGAAGACAAAGAACATATCTTACTCATCATTGCAAGTTACCTGGCCTATTCTCTCCATAAAATTGACATTTGAAGGACTGTTAAAGGATCTATTTCTGTCGCTCTCAGACACACACGCATACACATGCGCAAAATCAAGAGCAAAAGATGAACCACCACTAGAAATCAAAAAGGATACCGGGAAAGTTGTCAAGTGGTCATTCTGACTTGCTCTCACCAAACAAGTCTATTAACTCGATCTTGCTTATTCTTTTAATCCTTACTCTCTCATAGGATTTTTCTTTAGAAACAAGTCCACAAACTACTGTCTTGGTTGAACCTCTAATTATACCACATTTACAGTTTTGAAACATTTTGTTAGCTTCCTCAACTGTAAACTCTTAATGATCCAGATGGATTTGGCATTCTAAACAGCCTAAATAATACTAGTCAGAGCTCCCATGGATTCTTCCCAGAAAATGCAAACTCCTTCACATTTATTTCAAATGCATTTTATAGATCCCAAATTGCTAATGATACTGAATCATTTTGGCACCATCAGCACCTTACCTTGAAATATTTCAAGAAATATCATGTAAATTATAGAAAAAAGAAATGAAAATATACAGGTGGGCTCATGCCTGTAATTCTAGTAGTCTGGGAGGCCAAAGTAAGAGTACTTGAGGCCAAGAGCTCTAGATCAGCCTAAGCAAGAGCAAGACCCCATCTCTACCAAAAATTGCAAAATTAGCCAGGCATGGTGGTAGGCACCTATAGTTCCAGCTACTCAGGAGGCTGAGGCAGGAGCCCAGGAGCCCAGGAGCCCAGGAGTTTGAGGATGCAGTGAGCCATGATAATACCATTGTACTTTAAGAAGAAAAAGAAATATCACATAAATACTGCCATCTTTCTTTTGCAAGAAAGATGTTAAGAGTACAGTATCCTTTTCTCCTTTGGCCAAACCCTTAGTTTACCTACAGCAACTATTCAGAGCCTTATGTTAGGCATTTATTTCATGCATTATTAACTTTATGTTACATTTACTTTCCTATTCTTATTTCCCTTTTAATAAAATTCTTCACCTATTTAATCCCATTTTATTAAGTGTTTATTTTGTTAAGCTGCCTCAAATTCTTTCTCAAGTCATGTGGTAAGAACAGTAATGTTTTACAGAAGGCCAACTCATATTCCACAGTCACAGTAGATTGTAGGCATCTCTTTCAAACTCTTGAGTGCAGTCACTCCGCTCAGAGAGCCTGACATCAACCATGATCCAAGTGTATTCACTACATCAATATCAACAACTGCTATAAATCAGGTCTTTTTAACCCTGAAGAGTTACTTTACCAACACACCACTGGTGGTGTGTTTATTGATTCTGGTTCCAAATTTCAGAGACAATAAAGAAATTACCACATGTAATTACAGGTTCTCACACATGTTGTCTTAGTTAATAATATTCTAACAGACCAGTAAAAACCACCCAGCCGAATTGCAGATCATGGACAAATTACTTATTGTTTTAATTCACCAAGTTTGGGGGCATTTAAGATAATCACAGAAACAACTCATTTTCATTGTGCTTAACCATTTCATCCCAAAGATTCTACTGGTCTGCTCATATTAAATTTTTTTTTTTTTTCTGAGACACAGTCTCACTTTGCCATACTTAGTAGAGTGCCATGGCGTCACAGCTCACAGCAACCTTCAACTCTTGGGCTTAAGGCATTCTCTTGCCTCAGCCTCCCAAGTAGCTGGGACTAGAGGTGCCAACCACAATGCCCAGCTATTTTTTGGTTGCAATTGTCATTGTTGTTTAGCAGGCCTGGGCCAGGCTCGAACCCACCACCTTCAGTGTATGTGGCTGGAGCCCTACTTACTGACCTATGGGTGCCGAGCCTGCTCATATTAAAATTAAGTGTCTTATTCTTCTTGCCCCCTACTAAGGCATTAAAATGATTTATAAACAAGTCTTTAATATTTTGCCATGTGGTTTTCATGCTTTTGTACTTTTGTGTCTATCTCCCTATATATTCCTAACTACATCTTTCTCTCTTTTCTGTTGGTTATTGTTCCTTAACTATGAGTGTTCCTCCTAACCTCAGTCCTTTTTGCTGTGCTATTTTTGCTTGGCTCCAACCAACACTACAAATATAAATGTCTCTAAACTCTGCCTCTTTCCCTCACTGTTCTATTAACACATTCTGAGAGAATGCTACTCCTTAGCTATTCAGCCATTACCTCTCACAAATGATCTTAGCAAGTAGACTCTAACTCTTTGCTTGACAGCAAAAGAAAAAAAGGCTCAAAACATTTCTGCTTTTGCTATAACTTGCTAAGGAAAATTAATTCCAGGTTACAATGGAGGAAAGCATCTAAGAAAAAAAATCTGAAGTGGAAGTATAAAAATCAAAATCTGTATGCCCATGTCAGTGAGTGAAAGAATAAATGTGGAAGAAACAAATGAAAAGGAATTTTAAATTCGGGTTCCAAATACCAGATAAAAATTTTTCCTCATTGAGAAAGCTGGAGAAGCAATTACCAAAAACAGTCATGAAATTCTGCAAGAGTTTCACAGTATTTGGTGGCTCCCTGAATACGATAGCCAAATGTAAATCCGGTATAATCTTTCCAAAATAATACTTTCTTCCTGATGTGTTTACCTGCTGAAAGCAATGATAAACCAGACTGACAGGCCACTTAGGAACAAAGAGCACTACAGGGGAAAAAAATAGAAATCATCATTAGAGATGATGAAGTTAGGGGCAAACTATTAGATTTGGCAAATAGGACAAAATAAGTACTTCTGAAAGGAAGTCCTAACAGGAAACAAAAGTTATAACATAAATACGTTCATCTCTCATTTTAACAGCTAAATTTGAAAAAGAAAATTAATATATAAACAGATGAAGGTATGGTTATTAGATTCTGAGAACGTGATTTGCTTTTCTGGATTGTGAAAATATAGGAATTTGGGGTTCTTACGAAGAACATGATTTCTCAAAGATCTGGTTTATTCAAGCAGACAAGAAACAGAAAATGAAGGGACAAAAGACATCAAAAGACGACAGAGGAAATAAACTAGCAGAGGGCTAGAGAAAGCTTTGTATCACCTCGGCCTCCCCCAAGATCCATCTTTAGGAGGTCAGTGATGTTACAAGTTTAAATAAAGATCAGTCCACTGATTATACTTAGAGGTGTACTTCCCTTAATACATCAGCTAAAACCACATGGGCTCACTTTTCAACATAGAAACAAAACATTACATCATCTGCACACATTAGGAACATGGGCTATCCACAGAACTTACTGAGTCCTAAAATAAGGATAGTATAAAATGCCTACACAAATGGTATTAATTATCATTTTACATTATTAAGATGCCAGAAAAGCCATAGTTGTTCCCCCCAGCATTCAGCCAGGAAACTCACAGGCAAAGCTCTCAAGAGTAAACAATGCAGCTTGGTGCCTGTAGCACAGTGGTTACAGCACCAGCCACATACACAGAGGGTGGCGAGTTCGAACCTGACCAGGGCCAGCTAAACACCAATGACAACTGTAACAAAAAAATAGCCAGGCATTGTGGCAGGCACCTGTAGCTCCTTGGGAGGCTAAGGCAAGAGAATTGCTTGAGCCTAAGAATTTGAGGCTGCTGTGAGCTATGATGCCACAGCACTAGTACCAAGGGAAACACAGTGAGACTTTGTCTCAAAAAAAAAGAGTTAACAACAGATTCTTAAACAAGAATAATATTTATAGAAACTAACTCAACAGTACACTAATAGCCTAGCTCAGTTACCAGCCCAAGAGCTTTCAGGAAAATCCTAAATTATACTTCAGGGACTCCACATGACACAGCTCATCCCAATAGCCCTTCTCTCCTGGTATCCTTCCATCAACTTCTATCCATCCTTCAGATATCGTGTTAAATGTCTGTCCCCCTCACTAGATCACTGTAGGAGACTGAACACCAGGCTTATAAGAGTGGTCATCGGTTCCTGAAGGAGGCACTGAGAGCGGGACAATCTCCTAGCCAGCCCAGAGATGTTTTGCAGCCCAGAGACAAGCCCTTAAGCAACTGAGTGCTTTAATGAGATAGGAGCGATAGCTCAGTTAGCAAGCAGGTGTTATACTTTTGAACATTTGTGGTGCAATAGGGTGGGAGTCAAGCCCCTGGGGAAAGAGCATGTAGGGATCATTAAGCACGTAGTCCTTGTACGTGGGCCCCCACACCTGTTGTACATTGTCTCAATAAAAGGCCACAGCAGAGGTTACTCAGGGCTTCCCTGAATCTATGGGAAGGCCACCTCTTGCAAGACTGTACTTCCAATCTATGTCCTGTCCTAGCTGTTTCCTGAGTGTGGTGTTGGTGTGGAGTAGCGGCACCAACAGATCATTAACTCAGAGGGCAGAGAAGATTTGTCTTGCTTGACAAACCATCTATGTTCAATATATTTTCTTGAATAAAAGATTGTATGAGTATTAAGCACACTATAGTGACTTTCAAACCAAAAAAACTATTTCTATTTAGCTGCTAAGAGAGTTTATCTTCCCTTTCCTTGCCTAATATACATTAGCTGATGCTCATGCACAATTTCTATATTCTCATTAGAAATCTGCACAGAAAAGCCTTCTAAGGGCAGAATTAAACTTCAAAATTGTAACTTTCATTACAATTTCAGCTATAATCAAAGAATCCAAGTAAATTTCAAAATTTATTTCTACCCT